GACCTGTACTGTACTTGTGTTTACAGGCCCGCAGCGCCAGTACAAGTAGCTTTAGAAGCCTGAGCCAGGTACATACCAAAATGACATAATCCACATATAGTTGAGAAATTAGTAATACTAGCTATTTTAGCTGGACATAGCTAGACACTTAGAGTATAGACACTAAATTTGCTCGTGCGTAGATGCGTAGAGTACGCGGGTTTCTCTAGTTCCCCGTTTCTCGGGAATCGGATTAACTAACCCAGTTACGTTCTATCGCGTTATTGCGTTCACGATCGCCACACCATTAACGTCGAGAACGAGACAACGAACGACCGACCCAAAGTCACCGCGATTAGTCGACCGTTATGAAACGCTTTATCGCGAAACGGTATACGAAACGGTAGGCTCTACGATTTACATAGTTCTATATTTTACGACAGAAATATTCAACGGTAGTACATGCTTCCGTCTATAGTACATGCATGTTGACGGTCTTCTCTTTTCACGCGCAGAGACACAGGAATGCTGAATGAGGCATGCCACCCTTACGCACACCCCTTCGACAACTCCCGACCCATAGAATCTTGCATGTCTTTTACCACACTTTTTGTATCTCGGTCCACCGTCTTCTACGCGTGCATCCATTCTAACTCGATCTTTCTTACTCACCTTCTTCTCTTTTGTTTTCTTCTGTTTTCTCTTTTCTCGACACAGTTCGCGAAGATGCGCGAGAGCAAAGTAAGTACAGCCTGTACGAAGCATCGCGAAATTGGATATTCGGAATACTATCGCTGTGATTTAATTGCGTGTTTGTCCAAATTATTTAGCACCGAAAGAGTTAATAGAACATTGTTCGAATCGTGGTACAACCATAAGAGAATTCCAGCTGATTTCGATCGGGACCTTCCCTGCTGATCTCTCGATGGAAGACGTTTTTTCGTCTAACAAACCTACATGCGCGTACTCTTTCTGTATTTCATAGATTACCACAGACTACCATATATGTACTCTCACCTTTGGACTATATGTTGGACGCTACCACGTGCCCGTATTAAATCGTAACCAGCTATATCCCATGTATCTATATATTCTATACCATATCTCTATTTGTACTTTTCCAACTGCAGTGTTGTGTGGTGATTGGTGACCTGTACTGTACTTGTGTTTACAGGCCCGCAGCGCCAGTACAAGTAGCTTTAGAAGCCTGAGCCAGGTACATACCAAAATGACATAATCCACATATAGTTGAGAAATTAGTAATACTAGCTATTTTAGCTGGACATAGCTAGACACTTAGAGTATAGACACTAAATTTGCTCGTGCGTAGATGCGTAGAGTACGCGGGTTTCTCTAGTTCCCCGTTTCTCGGGAATCGGATTAACTAACCCAGTTACGTTCTATCGCGTTATTGCGTTCACGATCGCCACACCATTAACGTCGAGAACGAGACAACGAACGACCGACCCAAAGTCACCGCGATTAGTCGACCGTTATGAAACGCTTTATCGCGAAACGGTATACGAAACGGTAGGCTCTACGATTTACATAGTTCTATATTTTACGACAGAAATATTCAACGGTAGTACATGCTTCCGTCTATAGTACATGCATGTTGACGGTCTTCTCTTTTCACGCGCAGAGACACAGGAATGCTGAATGAGGCATGCCACCCTTACGCACACCCCTTCGACAACTCCCGACCCATAGAATCTTGCATGTCTTTTACCACACTTTTTGTATCTCGGTCCACCGTCTTCTACGCGTGCATCCATTCTAACTCGATCTTTCTTACTCACCTTCTTCTCTTTTGTTTTCTTCTGTTTTCTCTTTTCTCGACACAGTTCGCGAAGATGCGCGAGAGCAAAGTAAGTACAGCAAGTAAGAGGAGCGGACGACGATACACGAGCTCGCAGACTCGGTGTCGCCGTGTTCGATAGCGGACGAACCGAATCGGCGACACGGCCCGTGTTATTCGAGACGGGTCGTTATTTACGCGCCACGTGGACTACTAATCCAAAAACTGGACCCCGATAACTTTTTCGCGTCGAGAATCGCTCGAACGAACCTTCGACGGTGTATCTCGCTTTAATCGATTCGTCGTAACGAAAAAGGTTTCTTCGAACGATTCGCGACGTTTCGAAGCTGATTCGATCGAAATAGAGGCGAAGAAACCTGGGTTGGTAATTAATTCTTGCCTCGACTTTCGGCCGTCGAGTTTCCTTCGCCAGCAACGTTTCTCTGCGGTTTTACATATTAATTACTGGGACCGCGAATCGTGCTCTCTCTGCGGGCTATTTAGACGGGACCGTTTGATCTTGAAACCGCTGGATTGCAGTGCGAGCGACGGGGCGTGGTGCCACGGCTGCGCTTTTCGTCGTGAAGCGAATGGTTATCGGACACTTGATTGCCTTCGTCCGACGAAACGTTTAATCGAGTAATAAGCTCTTTCGAATGTTTAAGCAGGCTCTCGCGTCTTCGTACCTTGGCGCACGATGTTGCTAATTAACGCAACATCGCGAATCGTCGGTTAAACGTTTAATAAGCAGAACAAATTAACGTCGTTCGAGGACGTTTAGAATCTGGATTTTACGGAGGGTAGACCGTTTCGGAAGATAAAAAAAGGCCATCGATATTTCTTTCCTCGGCGACGTTCGTTCGAATCTATCGCTTCCGGAATGCGGTAAAGGAGCAACGAATTCCTGTCGTAGCGGACAAACTGCGGAGGCGCGAGACGATTCATTTTCGAGACGAGAAGCCACTTTTGGAAACAAACGCGCCAAAAACGGCCTCTCTCGTAAATGAAGAGAGGAGAAAGTCCGGGTGAATGGCATTTTAGGCCCTCGTTCGGAGCACCCTTCTGACAAGTAGGCGTCCGATATAAAAGCAATAAGAGAGGACGGCGACAGTGTTTGAGCGTAGTGGGGAAGGCAGTAGATTCAGGTTGAGGATGGTTCGGGTTGAGAACGACGATCGATAATCCGGCTGCACCCTTCTCGCTGGTGTCGCCGTGGCTATTACTTTAATTATTAATCGTATCGGTTGTTTCTGTCTATTCGATTGCAGGTGCAGTGACACGTTCCAAGGTCGTGATTTCGCGCGGTTGTTTGATCGCTTTCACGCACCGCTGCTCGCAGTAGCCTTTGTGTTCCGCGCGAAATCTCTGTGGAACCGCGTTAGCGCGATCGTCACTGGCGTTAATCGCGTTAATTCCATCGGACGTTATTGGAATCATTAGGAACGACGTTGTCGAGCATCGGCGCAACGTGCGATCGAATACTCTGGAATTTCTAGTCGCATTTCGGGGAATGCGTTTGACGTCCCAACGTTGTTCCGGCTTCCTTCACGGTCCCGTCGGAGAACCGTACGTGCAACTGGAACGATACGAACAGATTTTTTTCACGCACGAGCTAGCACCTGCTGCAGCCGTGTCGAGCTGTCTCGTACCGACGGATATATTGGATATCCGTCATTCGCGTCACGTCGATCTCTCGACCAGCAGTCGATTAAATCGTTCCGTCCACGCGTTCGTAACGTGTTCGTTCGGTCGCAAACGGGCACTCCACGTAGATCGCTACGTCACTCGAGAAACAACGACGGTACTCGTATTAAACGCGTAGAAAACGACGACGTTACAACGTCACGAGTATAAAGACGAACAATCCAGGTCGCAATTATAGTAATTGCTCTTCGGGGCTATAGCTTTCCTTTTGTTTCCCTCGTGTAACAAGTCTTACCAGTGCTTCATACCGTTTCAAACGATTTTTCCTTGTTCTCGAGCAATTTTAACGACCACCATTAACTCGAGATATCCCCGCGGATACGGTCTTGTATACAGACCCACTTTCTGCCGAAACAAAATTGCCGAAATATCAGCGAGCTTTTCATTCGACAGCTACTCTCGGCCGATTAAAGTCTCTCGTGTCCACTCGCGACACGATCCTTTGAATCCTCCATGCATTTTTACGAACCGCCACACGTCCACCTAGAGGGTATAGCTTTTCAAGGGCGGTTGCAGTCGGCCCCAATTATTGATCCTTCGGAAGCGGCTTCCGGGTCTCGCTCGCAACCACTCGGACAAAACTTGAGTGGGTGAAACGGCCGGGGCCAGCAGCCGTGATCCTAGTCGAGCAGACGAGGCGAACGGAGAGAAGACGAGAAAGAGAGAGAAACTCAAAAGCGGAACATGGGAGAGGTTGGGTGGCGACGGGTGTTTCTGGGCGTTTTCACTGGATCGCGATTTTCTCGCGTTCTTTTCCACCGGAGAAAATCTTTTAAAGACGCTGCTGCTCGTTCTCGAGATTCGAAGCTGATCGTCCGAAATTATTCCCTTGTCGGGTGTAGAAATCTGCAACGTCTCTGGGGCGAAATCATTAGGGAGCGCGATTACCCCTCTCGTTACGAATTAACGAAGCGTGGCAAGTTAATTTATTATCACCGCCGATTTTCATTTGCCGCAAGACTGGAAGATGCAACGTTTCGAATGCGTCTATGCGAGATCGAGGCACAATTGACCTGGCAGTTGAATCGAAAAAGCAAACGAGTAGTCCCGTATTCTCGTTGTTATCGAATGACCAACCAAGCGGTATCATCGTGTATACCCTCGATAACCTGTTCGACACATGCACACCGCGAACCTATAAAGCACGAAGACCTCGAATCTAGTCGCGAGTCGATGGCCGACTTGATCGAATAAGTGGCCTTCGCGGAATTCGAACACGAGCCTCCTGCACGCTCGGTGATTCGCTCGACAGAGATCTTCGATTAATATCCCATACAACTTTTCTACTCTCGAGAAGACTTTCAAGAATTATTGCCCGCCTCCACGCGTCTTTATCGTGAAAAAGGAACGATTCCATGGAATCGCTCGATTTCCTGTAAGAACGCGATCGCTCTCGAAACCCCTGATAGTCGTCGATTCGTCACACGAACAGGAGAATAACGGATAACGGACGACTCCCACGGGTCGATTCGAATCGTACAATTTGGTCCATTGGTCCTCGCAATGAAAACAGTAGTCGTGCAATCGTGAAAGATAGCGTTTAATCGAGTGTTCAATTAACGATTCCGATACATGACACGGGAACAAATGGCACGAGCGAGATAGAGGTCGGTGAAATCTCTGGGATCCTTTCTGTTTAAGCTGGGTTTTAACCAGCGACGCGTTTCTCCCTCGAAGAATTTCTGCCTCGAAAAAGACGCGGAAAGACAAAGGACCGCTCGTTCACCCGCGATTAACGGAAGTATCGTAGAAAGAAAATGCAAGAGTTCCTTTCACGCGAAACGGTGAGCCCTCGACAAAGCGCTTAATCGCCGGTCATCATCTCCATGAATTCTGCAAGGAAAGAAATGAACGAAGTTAATATTCTCGTGACGTACAAGTTCCCTATTCGAGAACTGATCCTTCGCGATCGAGTACTTATTATCGAATGAAAGATTGCGTAGCTAATCCTACAGATTATTACGAAGTACTTCTTTTCATTCGATCGTCGCGCAAGACGAATGTTTCTTCTGGAAAGTAAGTAGGTCGTACCCTTGTCCCTTTATACGGCCTGGCCCGAGTATTTTGAAAGGAGCTTTCAAAGGACGGTGTATTAAGACGTTCGAGGTTTAATCAAGCCCTCGTACGAACCACCGTAACGAGCTCTATAGATATCGGGCTAACAAAAAAGTTCGCGTGTTCGATATCGTAACAGTTTTCTCGTCGGACTCGCCTTGCCTTTCCCTCGCCAAAAATATCGTAATGCGTATTCGGAGCAAACCCGAGGCAACTTGCGAGATACTTTAACGCGATAACGAAGGTGGATAATTAGCTCGTTAGAAAAAATGAAAACTCACCGTCAAAGTCGACGGTACCAGAACCGTCGGTATCGATTTCAGCGATCATGCCGTCCATTTGATCCGGAGTTATCTGATCGTCCAGAGCCATCAGGATCTCTCGCAGAGAAGTCGTGGGAATGTAACCGTTGCCTTCCTTGTCGTAGAGCCTGAAAGCCTCTTTCAACTCTTTCTGCAGCGCCTCGTCGTCCTCCTCTTGGAAGTGGCTAGCCACCCGATAGAACGAATCGAAATTTAATTGGCCGCTGCCTGAAAGCCCGATCAATCGTCGATTAAAAACCGCTCTTCTTCGTGCACGTTGTCTTTCCTTTGACGCAGACGCGACACCGTAAACAACCATGTCCGTGGAAAAATATCCACGGAATAATGTACTTGGTAGCGTTCCAAGCGGCTTCGTTTACGCGGAACTGAAAATAAATCTGAAATTTCTATCGAGCCTGGATACGTAATGTCCGTCGAACGGTCGCGTCCGAGGTACGTCTCGACAGAAAATTAGATTCGAAACTGGAATAATCATACGATATCTCGGATATTTGGTCGACGCGGAGGACTGTATCTGCATAATAATACTCGCTGATAAAGCTGAAGCATGGAACGCGTTGTTAGTTACCGGCATTGTCTCGATTTCGAGGCAATTCGACGAGCTTACGCTAATTCCCGTTGTCCGGCTCGGTATCGGCGATCGATGTCACGGCTAAATCGTCGTTGAAACGTCCAGTCGGTGGCTAGAACGGAAGGCTAAAACGTCGCGAGGCGGTACGTTTAATTAGCTGAAAAGGGTGTAGGAAAACGGTGACCAGTATAGCCGCGACAATCGATTGAGAAACGTTGGACGTTGCGTTGAATCGAACGAGTCTTCGGCCGGAAAGGCGTAGGAAAGTTTCCGCGTCCGAGTCGTTTAGCTTTCGTTACCTCTATACACGTGCATTGCCGCGTCTCAGCCATTATATCATGAATTATTTGGCCCGGTTCGGTCGAACGAAGGCATCGATCGGTGGCGCACCCAGCGTCGGCCCAAAAATTGCTATAACGCTCGCGGAAAGGCAACGAAACGTTTGTTCTCTCGTCGATCGGATCGAAATCGAAAATACCGTACCATCTTCGTCCTCTTGTTTTAACAGCACTTCGAGCTCGTGATCGTCGAAAGTGTGCCCCAGGGTGTTCAGGATCGTCCTCACTTTTTCCTTCTCGATTCGTCCCTGCTTCGTCGAATCGAACATGGAGAAGGCTCTCCTGAGCACTGTAAAATATAACGAAGCTTCGTTTTCCGATTGTCCGAAGAAAGGAGGGATGGGAACGGGTTAACACGAATCGAAATTTAATTGGCCGCTGCCTGAAAGCCCGATCAATCGTCGATTAAAAACCGCTCTTCTTCGTGCACGTTGTCTTTCCTTTGACGCAGACGCGACACCGTAAACAACCATGTCCGTGGAAAAATATCCACGGAATAATGTACTTGGTAGCGTTCCAAGCGGCTTCGTTTACGCGGAACTGAAAATAAATCTGAAATTTCTATCGAGCCTGGATACGTAATGTCCGTCGAACGGTCGCGTCCGAGGTACGTCTCGACAGAAAATTAGATTCGAAACTGGAATAATCATACGATATCTCGGATATTTGGTCGACGCGGAGGACTGTATCTGCATAATAATACTCGCTGATAAAGCTGAAGCATGGAACGCGTTGTTAGTTACCGGCATTGTCTCGATTTCGAGGCAATTCGACGAGCTTACGCTAATTCCCGTTGTCCGGCTCGGTATCGGCGATCGATGTCACGGCTAAATCGTCGTTGAAACGTCCAGTCGGTGGCTAGAACGGAAGGCTAAAACGTCGCGAGGCGGTACGTTTAATTAGCTGAAAAGGGTGTAGGAAAACGGTGACCAGTATAGCCGCGACAATCGATTGAGAAACGTTGGACGTTGCGTTGAATCGAACGAGTCTTCGGCCGGAAAGGCGTAGGAAAGTTTCCGCGTCCGAGTCGTTTAGCTTTCGTTACCTCTATACACGTGCATTGCCGCGTCTCAGCCATTATATCATGAATTATTTGGCCCGGTTCGGTCGAACGAAGGCATCGATCGGTGGCGCACCCAGCGTCGGCCCAAAAATTGCTATAACGCTCGCGGAAAGGCAACGAAACGTTTGTTCTCTCGTCGATCGGATCGAAATCGAAAATACCGTACCATCTTCGTCCTCTTGTTTTAACAGCACTTCGAGCTCGTGATCGTCGAAAGTGTGCCCCAGGGTGTTCAGGATCGTCCTCACTTTTTCCTTCTCGATTCGTCCCTGCTTCGTCGAATCGAACATGGAGAAGGCTCTCCTGAGCACTGTAAAATATAACGAAGCTTCGTTTTCCGATTGTCCGAAGAAAGGAGGGATGGGAACGGGTTAACGGCGGGCGTCGATTTTCGTTGTTTCATCGACGTATGTATCTCGGAAACGAGCCGCCAGAATTAGAAACGGCTTCGCATTCCTCTGAAAATTCTAGAGCGCGAGGAGGGACGGTTGTGCGAACTCGAGGCGCATCGTCACGCCGAACCGCGCCTCGCCGGTTCCTATTTATTTACACGCTCTGCCAGCGGCGTGCGCGTATTAAAATAACGCGGCCAAGTCAATCGACGGTTTATTTTGCGATAGGAAGCTGGGATTGCGCAATCACGTTGAAAGCGTACCGCGCTCTCCACCGTGTGTCGTATCTGGTAAAACGATGGAACGCGTAGGTGGACGCGGGAGAATAGGTGTTACGTTTGCGAGAAAGTTCGCGAAATAATGTGAAATCGAGTTATTCGTCCGACCGATAAATCGATATCGTCGGATAAAGCCCATTTCGCGTTTGGATAACGAATCTCGACGAGCGCAACCGGTACGTAAGGTTTGCTCTTTCCTTGCCTTTGCGCGCGTCGAATCCGCTTTTAAAATACATCGAAATCCCGTTTCTGCTCGTCCCGTTGTCGAGACGTACTTACTTTTCACTTGTTCGTCATCCTGAAACAAAGAAGAAATCGTGTTTCAGTACGATTAAATCTTTCGAACGTGTAATAGCACTTTTCTGCGGAAACGATGGAGAAGAGCAGAGAGAAAGGAACGAGTCTCGATGGAGACTCGCCGGCGCGTTTTAATTCACCGTCCGTCGATTATTTCCCGTACGGAAAAACGAGATCCGATCGAAAGATTGCTGGCGCCTGGCCAAAGCTGCCGGTACTCTATCGTTTCCGCACAGAATCCACCAATTAATGCGTTCGCGTGCAGTAACAACAACAACAACGACGACGACGATCCGTCACACGGTCGAGCCTCGTTTGACACGCGATCGCTATGGAACTGACCATCTTCCGTGGGTTGTATGGCGATAACCTCGACGCTCTGTCCCTTCGTTGTTTCGCACTAATGGTTTATCCGCACTGGATATCTTTTATAAGCTCAGCTAGAACGCATGGAAGGGGAGGAGAAGAGTCTCTCTCTCATCCCTTCCTGCGAACTGTCGAAATTCACAGGTTCCCGCGCGGAGAAGCGACGCCAGTTCGCGCCGCTATAATGCTACGGTTCTCCGTGTTAAACGTTTAACCAACGCGCCCCGAAAACGCGTCCAACTCAAGGACGCGTGTCAACCTGTCAGTCTTGGAATGCTCGAGCGCGTTTGATCGCCACGCTCGAAAATCTTCACGAACTTCTCTCGCCCTCCTACTCGCACCCACCGAGAAACTGGATATTCTTCGTAAAATTGAAACTAGAACGTTTCTCGAGTGCAGCGAGGCTTCTTAAATGGTTCGAGAGTTTCGAACACCCGTACGATAAATTGCCGCGTTAAAACGATTGTTCGCGAAAAAAGTGGCCAACTCGATACATTATAAGGAGAGAATATTACATAGAGCCTCAACTATGTGGTTGTTTTCGACACGGTTCGGATAGCCTGCCAAAAAGTTTGAGGGAAAAGCAGTAAAATTTTCGTGCACCGCGGATCTCGTCTCGCAGTAGGCGGACGGAAACACGGTAACGGAACGGGCAAAGAAGTGGGGACGATGCTATTTCAAAACATTCCAGACTATGATACTACTGCTTTCCATTCAACCACCGCGTCGTTCCGTGCAATAATTCTTTTTATTGCTTACCAAGAAATTTAATATCCTCGAGCACTCATGAATTCATAGAGTTGGCCCGTGGAAGAATTATCTAGTATCTTCGATATGTTGGATCGATCGGAACTCTATACACGCAATTTCAACCCACGCTACTTATCAGACTCTCGATAAATTTTTAACCTTAGATACAATCATTTTGAAATTGTTACTTAAATTCGTCAAGGGCCATTACGTTTGGATCAGTTCCGTGTTGATCATGAAACGATCGGATTTAATTGGGAACCGTCGAGAGCGTTAGGGGCTAAAATTCATCGTTTAATTCGCGGACTGCTGTTATTATTTATGGCAGCTCTCCGCGGGAACGGGGTCTCGGCGGTTGTCGTTGCATAACGTCGTAACTTGACTCATCGTAGCGTGGCAGAAAATGTTATTGTTGCGCTGTAGAGGTAGTAAACGATTGCAAAGTGCAGCGCTGGCTGCGTTTTTTACGGCTGCCTGCCTCGGGTGATATAGCGCTTCTTCTCGTAAGAACGCGGTAGAAGGCAAACGCTATAATTATCTCGTCAGTTCCGCCCACGCAAGACGTGCCATCTCTACGCGGAATTATTATTTGAATAAACTGCTCAGTATTTTTAGAATGTCCAATACCAATTGTGTACCTCGCTCGAGTCGTTCTATATTTAAACTGGAGTATACCTTGCCGCGTAATTGGGCAAACGGTCGACGAACTTCTTGGATCACCCCTTTTTCTCGTCGATTGCATAAACCGTTCGAAAACGATGACTCACCGTGGAGAATTTACTTTTATTCCGATCGTGCCTAGATTTTGAAAGCACAGTTCGAGCGTATCGTATCGTTCCACGTACGATCCAATTAGCGTCGTTTTTCGTTGCGTTATCGAGCCTCTTCCTCTTGGCCTCGACAGCAGATTCCAAATCGATCGGAAGTTTGTATCAACTAACTCGATTTATTCTCGGCCGATGCGCATTCGCGCCGTCGGAATCCGAATCGTTTCCAAAGATCCGAATCTGTGCGATTGTCTGTCGAGAGAACGAACGCGCGCTTCCGTTTATTTCACGATAACGAGAATATCGGATTTATAGGCCAGATATAAAGTTATCCGAAGATTTTTATGCCCCTGAAGATTGAAACCAACTCGTGGACGGAATCGTTTCATGCGCTATTTTGGCCTTTGTCGGTCATTACGTGGTCGATGACGCAGCTGATTCATTGAGGATCATTCGATTCAGGAATCGTGTACGGAAAATAGAATCCGCGCGTTTCAAAGTCGTACCGATGATACAGTTTCAATTTTTAGCGTTGAAAATGTTATTTTACGTAGTTACCGAAATTGATACAAGCTAAACAGTTGATCTTAGCTATATCAGCGTGTTGATTATCGCGGCAGGCGGTTCATTTCCACGGAAAAGCTAACAGGAAAATAAAACAATGGGCTTGGTGGCGGGCGATGACTAAAGTCTCAGAAATTACCGTGGATCATTCAACGATGTGTCATTAGCACGAACCTGTGAACAATGGCGCGCGATGCATCCCCGACCTCGAAATGTTGACTCAACGCTCGCTCAGATTCTCGACTCGTAATTGAAGGTATTGTTCGTCCTACGACATTAGATTTCTTTTATCTCCGGTAGGAACGAATTTTCGTTTCTGCGCATTGTTCTCGCTGCGTAACGCTTCGTTTTTTTTTCACGTTTCCTTTCTCGTTAACGATTCGTATCAAAGAAGCTTTTTCCTTCGATTAGAACGAACGAAGATAAGACTCGTTTAACGAAACGGTTAATCGAGGAACCCGGATAATTCGGCTTTGACGGATATACGAAACACATCGATCTTTCTCCGACTGGAAAGCGAAATACGTAACGTCGAATAAAGAGATCGGGTAGCTGGATTGAGATACGGAACATCGCAGATAACCTTGCGACCGGAGTAAAAGAAATTTGCAATTGTCGATGGCCTAGTTTACGTTTCAGCCACAACGGTCGAGTAGCATCGGTAAACAACGTTATTTTTGCAATGGCCGATGCTTTGTCCGCGTTTCGAACGGACTCGCAAATTCATAAAAACTTTTTCCCTGGGCGAACGATAGCTAACGATCGTCTTTGGGAACGTCGCTCGAATTCCGATCTGCCCGAGCGTGCCGTTGATTTCATTTCGAACGAACTTTGGCCGCTTCGTTTCCATCGCGGTTCAGCCGAAACTCGATGAAAGGCCGTTATCGCGGAAACAAAGGAGAAATTCGACGATCCGGTAACGAAACTATGCTCAACCGCAAGAACGAGACTGCTGACGAAGGGAAAAAAGAAGGAGAAGAGTTCCCAAACGAATTCCGCGATTCCATTTGCCGCTTGTTTAATCAGGCTGCAATTAAAAGGAACAGCTCGAACGGCGCTGGGTTTCGACTCAGCCTCGAAATTCCATTAATCCGCGGTCACGTGGGAAGCAAAGCGCGATTACACGTCCGCCGATAGAGGTATCCCGGTGGCGGCTATCGATCGCCGACGAATTTAACGATGCTCTTTTATTTCCCGTACAATAGGCTCGCAACAAACCAGCAGATGGAGTGGGTCACGTGAACCAGAAGGGATCCGCGGGTCAAAAAGCGCCGCTTACGACCGGGCAAAAGGTGGCGCCTGGTGCGAAAGTTGCCGCGAAACCGGCACAGAAACCCACCGCCCAGAAGGGACAGGTTAAGGTCACGCCGAAGGCAGCTTCCGTTAAGACTGGCAAAAACAAAAAGAAGGGCCAGAGGCAGCAGTATGACCTCATCGTCACGATCAATCTGGTGAGTAAACTCTTTTCGTTTTCTGCGCGATTTACCCGTGCACTGATACGCAGTAGAGACGGTCGGTATTGGTCAGACGCGATCAGGTCTACCTCGGTACAGTAAAGTAGCGCTTCGAAATTCACGAGCGCAGCGTATCGTAAGAGACAATGTTCTTTATCTACATCGATACCGACCATGCCGAGCACAGTGGAAATGGATGGCAGTGGCCAGACGCGTCTGATCTAGACCGTCCTTCTCCATCAGATGGTAGCACGGGTCCGTGAACGAGAATAATTCGAAAACCGACCAACTTAAACGCGCTGCCACTGCAAAAGCCGTTTGTAGTACGACACGTAACTATAGTTCAAAATTAATTTTTTCTCGATCGCGCGGTTAATTATTAAACGTTTTATGCCTTTCGAAATAATTTTTCTTCCTCGGTGGCTTCGATCACATGGGCCGTTTACGCGTTATTTCGATCGATAATTGTCGTTTATTCGAATCGAATTCAATTCGATACTTAACCTCCGGAATGTCGTAAGCAAAGATCAATTCACCGATGACGCGTATCCACGATCCAATAAAACGCGAAACGAGTTTTTCATCGTTTAAATTGCTTTCGGCTATGTATGTTGTTTTCAAGGGTACGGCAACAGTGTTGTTTACATCGATATCCCATATTCGTAAAAATAGCTAGAGCCGATGCATTTCAAGAAATTCACGAGGAGACACCCACGACAAAGCGGGTTAACGTGTCCGTGATTTTTCGTCGCGACGATCCAGAAATAGTTACAGACGACTTTACCTTCGTCCCGTTGAAGCTCTCGCTAAGGAAAGTACACGCGACTCGATTATTGACTAGTTTCAACGATTTTCGTTTCGCGTTCCGATGACGTATACGCGCACGTAACGATCGTAAGTTCAAGAAACTCGATCTTGACGCACGAAGCGTGTCCCGAAGATATGCAATAATAAGATCGCCCCAAAGTTAGAACGACCGAAATATTTGTGGCAGACTTCGTTATTGCAGTCGTTGTCCGGTTAAATCATGCTAGATAGGCACGATTCAGCTTGGCGAAGCGTTGGCATTCCGCGTTCTCAAAACCGTTTTCAAGGAGATATCTACTCGATCAGTCGCAATCGGATGAAAGGTGAATCAGACGCATTTTCGACCGCGAATCATTTGGCAAAGCTGACAGAAGCGAGTTGCCATTAACAAAAACAGAATGAAAGATAGAGAAGGACGGAGAACGAGAAGCAAGAAGATAGAGAGCCAATCGTTGTAGACCGTTGACAAGTTAAAAACGGGCAAAGGTGGTTCGAACGTTCGCTCGATCTTAACTCGAATTACGTCCGTAGAAAGTAGATGTGCTCTTTGACTCCCGTTAACCGAGAAGAATCACCGGGTGTCTCACGCGAGAATCAGGAGGGGAGGATCAGAATGAACGATCCGTTGCCACAAACAACCGGTGACGTTGCCGCTCGCTAGTCCATAAATATTATTTGTGTTCGGTCCTGTAGCCGCGCTAGTTCGATTGACGCGTGGCAGGTTCTTCGAGCCAGAGTGCCGTTCCCGAGACAAGCTGAGACAAGGTTCGAGTGGAAATTAAGGAGAAACACGAAGCATTACGTGGTTGAGACAGTGTAATCGGTTGACGGAAACAGATGTAATTTCGGGGGTACGCTGTCAGGTGTAATCGGTTGTTAATCGGTGAAATTAGTGCGCGGTGTTGCTCGAGATGGCAGACACCGAGAAGAAGTACACGACGGCGTATGGAAAGCTGAGAAGATTGACGAGCACCATAGATGGACAAATTCGACAAATAAGCGTAAGTAATTCGACTCGACGATACAGAAGTCCCTCGGCATTAATTCGTTTTCGATGAACGCGATAGCGATCGCGTGCTCGAGTTGCAACGGAATTCAAAGGGATCGGGGTAAATATATAAATGCGGGGCAGACACGTACACTCGTAAACGGTGCGCTGACTTTTCGCGAATTTATGCGAGCCCCTCTCGGAAACGCTGGAAAAGGACGTGACCCAGTTGAATGCCGACTCTGTCTACTTCCAAAGAGCTTCGAAGCATCGAACCAAGAGCTTTCGACTAAGACAGATCCGACAGGCTCGTGTCCCTTTCTCACAGTACTTACGGTTACATTCACGGATCTCCATGGACGTAATCCGTGAAAGTCATTTCGAAACGACATCCCTGGACGTTTCTGGATTATCGAACGAACGAGTTTCCGTGACAAGGTGACTCTCAATTGATGCTAAACCATGTAACACGTTGCGAGTCAAAGCGATCGCTCCAAAATTCCGTGTAAACGCCAGACGTTTCCTAGCGCGTTATTGACATTTTCCTAAATAAAGTATATGAATTATGAATTTCCAAATTCAACAGGTTTATTTCGGTGGAAATTGCAACATTAACGATGCGCCCGTAGCCATAAATCACTCCATGGCTGACTCACGAGCAAACTTACCCAATCCGCTCGGCTTATGGTGAGCTTCATTAGCGCGAGCTCTAGGAAACTATTTCTAAAACGCTCGTATTAACGACACTGCCAGGAAATTGGTTACTTCCAGCACTTCCTAAGACGATTACGTTCTCCAAGGAAGCAATCGTGCCGCAAATTATCCGCTAGCGATTTCCGAACAAAATCATCCAATGACCTTTCGTAGTTTTCCCGCGCGATTCCGGTCACGTCGTCCCGCAGTTGCAACATCCTATTATTAATAATCGCGCTTGGACCTCCGCTCCGTATTCCCATCGTCGAAGAGAAGTACGGGTGAGCTTAACAGGCAATCGGCCAAAGCTTGACCGAATGACAAACTCGCTCGTATAGACAATTAAATCGCTAGACGATTAAGTCACATTCGAAGCTCAGTTCGACGCGAGTTCTCTCTCGATCGTGTCAAGGTGATTCGCGCGTTATCGCCGGCAGATACTTTGTCAAAAGAAGTTCGAAGCACCGGGGATCTTTTCATCGGCAAAGTCATTTGCACAATGGCGACCACGTAAACGTCAATAGCGGTCCACGGGGTCGCTGATAAGTCGACGTTACTGTAATCGCGCTACCGGCATATGTTCCTTAATCCGCTGTCTATTAATGCTGATTTACCAATGTCGAGCACAGTCGCGTGTAGAAGGCGGATAAGCCGGTACGGGTATTACCATGGCTCGACCAATTTGCAAGTTAGGACAGGGTCGTTAATCGTGCGAATTCTACGTGACCGTACGTGCATACGTCCAGGTGATTAAATACTCGCTGGAAAACGTTGGAACGGTGTTACATTAATTAACCCGCCCCTAGAGTGGAGTCTGCGTTCCTCGCATGCCTTAACGGACCGAATACCGTTTTATTTCGACGAATCGAATCGGCAAACCGGCGAATCGAGAAAAAATTAATCAACCGTTCGGGTAATTGCCGAACAGAAAATTATCCACCGTAAATTTGATCGAATTAATGAGATTTTGGTCGGAATTCGAACAGATTGCCGCAGCGTGCATTAGTCTCGGCTGCGCATTAAATTTTGACGAAATGTAACCGTGTCACTTTAACGATTTAATTAAATTTCACAGCTTCTCCTGCATCTTCTAATTTCGCTCATTTCTTGTTTTTCTTCTTCTCTTTTCAGTCTGAATATGGGCTCACGGAGGATCAGGTGGCTGGTAAGTGGTCTTTAAATAACGTATTCACAGTTTGCGGAAAATTTCATTCAGCGCCGTTAAAAACTCCGCTTTTCGAGACAATTTGTGAAATACGAACGACGTGATTATTCGTATTTGCGCGATATTACAGCCCATTTTCCCTGCCAGGTGGAACCGTTTGAAGAGGTTCGTTGCCTTTAACGGCGCGAAAAAGAGAGCAACAAATGTCTTTCTTCTTGCCGAACACGGTGTCAGTGTAACGAGTCAAGATTTTGACCCAGAATTCGAGCGTCCATCGGCGAAACGTTAACGAGTGCAAAGTCGAAATTTTTTCGTCGTTCTCGACGATGAACGAACGCGAACACGCGTATGACACGTTAGCTCGGGAATGGTACTCGACGTATGTACCTCGTTTCGCAAATTACAGCCACAGAAGTTGTTCGCGATTTTCACCGCAATGCCGCAATACTCGGGGAACTCTTTTAATTGCGCCGAACGTCGTGCTAAAGCTACTTCCCTTTGGAGGCGAGCGTGTTACAAAAGCACTTTGGTCTCGCTTCGCATCCGCTCGTTTCTACCCGTTGATGCTTTGATTAATTAACTCGAGAGATCGCGGCATGAACGATTCGAGCTTTCGAAACGGAGAACGGTAAGATAGAAGCATCGAGTAGCCGCGTGTAAGGTCATTCAATTTGCGAGAGTACCTTTACGTAAGGGCGTATATCTCGTTATATCTCGCTGGAATATGTTTCACGAAACATTATTTCGAGCTCACGCGACTGCGAGCATTGGCCTTGCTCGCTTCCGCGGCTATCGAGCGTCGAGGAGCTTTCAAAACGTTCCGTCGCGACGCGTGTCGCGGCGCTCGCAAGTTTTTACCACGGCACGCGACCACAGATCGCCGATTGCGCCCATGGGAAACCGCTGAATGAGAAATTGCCCGCTCGTTTATGCACGTTAATGCATCGCCGAGTATTTACGCGGTGATAAACGCAAGGTGAATGCGGTTCGATCTACGTGGCGAACGATAAAGATCGAACGACGACATTTAGAAACTCGCGTTCGCCGGTCCGTCGCGGTTGTGCCGCGTTTCGTGATTTCGAACTATAATCTGCCGGACCTTTACTACTGGATTCGTTACCTCGCGTGATTAATCGTTCTTCCAACGGAGCAGTCGTGCCGCGTTCAAGAGGCCAATTGACATTTCAGAAATTTATTTCCCCGATTAAATGCAGCGATCGAGAACCTTTCCGATCTCCAGAATCGAAATTCTCTTTCAACTTCTTTTTCAACCCTAACGCGATTACGTTTGCACGATCGTAGCTGCGACATCCTCGATTTTCCGATTCCTCGACTTCGACGGGACTGTATGTCGCAAACCCTCTTCAACGGTCGAACGCGCAGAAGAAGTGGGACAGCGCGTGAAAAGAGTCGTAATAAAACCCGAACGTGCAAAGATAGGAATGAAAATACCAGGTTCGTGTTGTCGACAAAGGAACAAAAAAAGCTGCTTCGACGCATCTCGTAAACCATCGAGGAAACTCGCTTGTCGTGCACGGATTTTTACTACGCGCCGTTCGTCGGAGTATCAGAGAATTTATAACGGGCGCATCTCTCGTAGTGGCTGGCCACTTGCCCGGCGCTCGCGCGCTCTAGCTAGTTTTGCTCCACTCGTAACGCGTGACCACACACTTATTTACACGTACACACTCTTACGGGACCGCTCATGATTAATAGACATCTAAATTCGCGGGTTCTCAACAATGCGACGCCGAGCAGAAGCGTTTGTTGTATATCGTTCTATTGCCAAATTTCCGCCAAAGTTTTTCCCCACTTGTTATTTACGGTTTGGTTGGCCGGTCTCTGGAATTTTCAACGAAAACACGTCGCTACGACTGCATCGAAAGCGTGGAAAGAGAAATTACGGTGAAATTATTCTCGTGTTTCAATCACTTCAGGTACCTCCCACAGTCTCTCTACGCCGAACGTGCAGTCAGTTTTAATTGGTTAAAATGAAATTCGACACTCCCGTTTTCAATTTATGTTGCTACTTAAGGCGCAAGCAAGCAGATTAGTGAAATATCGAGTATCGTCCATGAATACGATTTACGGTTTCAGAATTCAAGGAGGCGTTCATGCTGTTCGACAAGGACGAAGATGGAACCATCACGATGGCGGAACTCGGCGTGGTCATGCGATCTTTGGGACAGAGGCCGTCTGGTAAGTGATACCCTGAATGATTTCGGACTTTCCGATCTCCAGAATCGAAATTCTCTTTCAACTTCTTTTTCAACCCTAACGCGATTACGTTTGCACGATCGTAGCTGCGACATCCTCGATTTTCCGATTCCTCGACTTCGACGGGACTGTATGTCGCAAACCCTCTTCAACGGTCGAACGCGCAGAAGAAGTGGGACAGCGCGTGAAAAGAGTCGTAATAAAACCCGAACGTGCAAAGATAGGAATGAAAATACCAGGTTCGTGTTGTCGACAAAGGAACAAAAAAAGCTGCTTCGACGCATCTCGTAAACCATCGAGGAAACTCGCTTGTCGTGCACGGATTTTTACTACGCGCCGTTCGTCGGAGTATCAGAGAATTTATAACGGGCGCATCTCTCGTAGTGGCTGGCCACTTGCCCGGCGCTCGCGCGCTCTAGCTAGTTTTGCTCCACTCGTAACGCGTGACCACACACTTATTTACACGTACACACTCTTACGGGACCGCTCATGATTAATAGACATCTAAATTCGCGGGTTCTCAACAATGCGACGCCGAGCAGAAGCGTTTGTTGTATATCGTTCTATTGCCAAATTTCCGCCAAAGTTTTTCCCCACTTGTTATTTACGGTTTGGTTGGCCGGTCTCTGGAATTTTCAACGAAAACACGTCGCTACGACTGCATCGAAAGCGTGGAAAGAGAAATTACGGTGAAATTATTCTCGTGTTTCAATCACTTCAGGTACCTCCCACAGTCTCTCTACGCCGAACGTGCAGTCAGTTTTAATTGGTTAAAATGAAATTCGACACTCCCGTTTTCAATTTATGTTGCTACTTAAGGCGCAAGCAAGCAGATTAGTGAAATATCGAGTATCGTCCATGAATACGATTTACGGTTTCAGAATTCAAGGAGGCGTTCATGCTGTTCGACAAGGACGAAGATGGAACCATCACGATGGCGGAACTCGGCGTGGTCATGCGATCTTTGGGACAGAGGCCGTCTGGTAAGTGATACCCTGAATGATTTCGGAAAACCGAGGATAATACGACGGCCCATGTGGTCTGTCGACCACGTGCATCAAGGTGATCGCTAGCTGGCTGCAAGCCATGAGCCGGTGAAAACTGTTCACGCGCGACCAAAAAATATAACGGCTATCTAAACCGCTAACCGACCTAACCACCGTATTGTCTATTAACCGTTATCGCGCTAATTGCATGAGAACGACGCGTCGGGTTGCATTTTTCCAATTCCGGTGACGTGAACACGCTGGAACGACGATGTTAGCGGTGACCAAAGTTTCAACGAAATAAACGATGACACGACCGATAAACGCTTCTCGTTCCTAGCACCGAGGTACGCGTCAAAAGTTCGAAACGTAACGCGAAGTTTACGGGAACGGTTCTTACTAAATTACGTAATATCTCGGCCGTCAGTTTCGAGGGCTTTCGAAAACGGTTAGAGTTGAACGGTAGAATTCCTGAAAACTAGGCTGTGACAAGAGCTTAGGGAAAATTAACTTTCGACCGATCCTAAGCTAGAAACTGTGACAGCCAGGCGCACGTGCAGGCCTTGGTTAATTAACTGCGCGTCGAGTTCTTCTATTCCCGCCCCGAGGGATTTGCCGGGGAAATTAAATGTCTTCCATGAAACGACGATGAATGTACGCGCATGCATTACACGCACGACAACCAGCAGAAAGAAGACGCGAGGGAAACGTTGTCCCGTCGTTCCAACTTTTGGGTCTGCCGTTCTCGACGCGGGTTCATGTCTGGACAATTTTCCATTTTAGAAACAGAGCTGGAGGATATGGTGAACGAGGTGGATCAAGATGGAAACGGTACCATCGAGTTCAACGAGTTCCTGCAAATGATGTCGAAGAAGATGAAGGGTGCCGACGGTGAAAAAGAATTGCGCGAAGCGTTCAGGTACCACGAAGCCACTTTACGCGTTCACCGCTTTTAATCGAAAGCTGCTTCGTACTTTTAAGAATCCTAAAAAATATTATACGTGGAATGTCTGCTTTTCTCAGAGTGTTCGATAAGAACAACGACGGGCTGATCTCATCGAAGGAACTGCGGCACGTGATGACGAACCTCGGTGAAAAATTATCGGAAGAGGAAGTCGACGATATGATCAAGGAAGCAGATCTGGACGGTGACGGGATGGTAAACTATGAAGGTAATTTATTCCTCTCGTAATGTTCGTTTCAACGAGTTTCTCGACATAGAAAAAGTAGCTATCGATAGAATTAAATATTGAACGTCGTCTAACTCGTTTTATTTAGCAAATTCTTTGGTACATTTTGGTTTTCGAACGTAACGATGTCTGCTTAGAATTCGTGACAATCCTGACGTCAAAGAATTAGTTCGGTGGCTCTGGATCGGACAAGAAGCTATTACAGCTGCCGGAAGTCTTCGACGAAGAACAGAATCAAACTCGCGATGTTCCTCCTTGCTCCAAACCATAGCGATTTGTGCGTACCTCACCATCCAAGACATCCCTGTGGAACCATAGGATTCTGAGCAACAGGAAAGCGTGAATAGTCATTGATAAGCAAGATCTGAAAAATTTGTTCGAAAGAAGATACGTCTGTTCAGCGTGCAAGATTTTCTCCGCGCGAGGGTAAGTGGTACCGGAAGACTGTGAATATGGTGTCTCGAGTGGTGGGGTGACGGGGTGACGTAGCAGGATGTCGAAAAAACAGGATAGGGGAAGAGCGAAGGAAAAGGAGGATGACTCTCGCAGTTGCACACGCATACACGCATACACACCTCGCTCCTTCGAATTAATTTTACAAGCATAAGTTAGCGAAACGACACTGTACGTGAAAACGAGTGAGGTGCTCGCTCCCGAAACAATCAACTGAGCTTCGTTTAGCGTTTACCTACCTATTACCTATACTCTCTATTAAATGCTATACAACGTCGTTATTGATATTGTTAGGAACCAAACGATCTTTCTTCACCCCTCACCGGTCTCATTTGCGCGACGGTCTCGTAAATCGTTCAACGGCGGATCACTCGTCGAGGGTCTGTATTTCCGACGTTTATTAAGCGTTGACCAGAGCTACGGATTTTGAAAACGGTGTCGATGCACCGATATCCGACTTCGATCCGCAATAGGAACGATCGAGCCGTTCGTCATCCCTTTCACCCCCATCGTTCGATCGGTATTGTTCCTTCAACGTGGTTGAATTCGCTTGTAAACAAGACGAATCCCTTCGATTTCTGTCATAAACATGCTGGCGTGCGAGTCTCGACACGAGATAACTCTATAAACGATCTGTCTTCGAATTTAGATGAATGTCGTTGGCAAGTAGATTAGCTTTAACGACGATATACTTGTGGCAGAATTTTTAGACGCACGTTATGGCGACATGCCAGAACGGTCGCTGGAAAGTAAGAATCAAAGCAACCAGTAGCGGTCTTTCCTTTTCAACGTACAACCCTCAGAGCCCGCGATTTTCGTGCGGTGTTAGTTATCGATCGTTTTGTATCCGTATCGTACGAAGTAGCCGAGAATCTCGTATCGCCCGTTCTCGTCGATCGCGAGGCGAGCTTAGGATCCTCGCCCGTGTCTAAAAACCCTTCTGTATCGAACACCGTCCACCTAAAACCTCGACATTCGATCCCATCCACCGATCCAACCCGTACTAACTACGTCGTTGCACCCTTAGGTCCTTAAGATGACAAGCCACAGCCGTAGTTCGCGAATAGATGGTAGTTAGTTAGCGCAATAGAAAGGAGACACGTAATAAATGATGCATTATACACATACCTATTATATATACCTATACATGGTGTTACTACCGAAGGTACTTCAAGTAACGTTATTATGGATATTCATATATATACATACATATATATGAATATATTTAGTTATTAAATGCTATACAACGTCGTTATTGATATTGTTAGGAACCAAACGATCTTTCTTCACCCCTCACCGGTCTCATTTGCGCGACGGTCTCGTAAATCGTTCAACGGCGGATCACTCGTCGAGGGTCTGTATTTCCGACGTTTATTAAGCGTTGACCAGAGCTACGGATTTTGAAAACGGTGTCGATGCACCGATATCCGACTTCGATCCGCAATAGGAACGATCGAGCCGTTCGTCATCCCTTTCACCCCCATCGTTCGATCGGTATTGTTCCTTCAACGTGGTTGAATTCGCTTGTAAACAAGACGAATCCCTTCGATTTCTGTCATAAACATGCTGGCGTGCGAGTCTCGACACGAGATAACTCTATAAACGATCTGTCTTCGAATTTAGATGAATGTCGTTGGCAAGTAGATTAGCTTTAACGACGATATACTTGTGGCAGAATTTTTAGACGCACGTTATGGCGACATGCCAGAACGGTCGCTGGAAAGTAAGAATCAAAGCAACCAGTAGCGGTCTTTCCTTTTCAACGTACAACCCTCAGAGCCCGCGATTTTCGTGCGGTGTTAGTTATCGATCGTTTTGTATCCGTATCGTACGAAGTAGCCGAGAATCTCGTATCGCCCGTTCTCGTCGATCGCGAGGCGAGCTTAGGATCCTCGCCCGTGTCTAAAAACCCTTCTGTATCGAACACCGTCCACCTAAAACCTCGACATTCGATCCCATCCACCGATCCAACCCGTACTAACTACGTCGTTGCACCCTTAGGTCCTTAAGATGACAAGCCACAGCCGTAGTTCGCGAATAGATGGTAGTTAGTTAGCGCAATAGAAAGGAGACACGTAATAAATGATGCATTATACACATACCTATTATATATACCTATACATGGTGTTACTACCGAAGGTACTTCAAGTAACGTTATTATGGATATTCATATATATACATACATATATATGAATATATTTAGTATATACTTATACATACATACATACGTACATATATATATATATATATATACATATTATATATATACATATACACGTTAGCGACCTACGTCGGTGGTATACTGGCATTGATATTTTTATGGTTTTAAAAAAAAATACGACAACAACAAGAACAAGATCAACAAGTATTAGTGTCAGAAAGAGAGAGAGAGAGAAAGAGCAAACGAGGAAGAGCGAAAGTGTGAGAATGAATGAATGAAAGAGAGAGAAAAATGAGTGAAAGGACGCGAAAGAGAAATTGGTTGGTCGAAGCGCGGAAGAGAAGCGCGTGTACATAGCGAACATTCAACGACGAGAAAAAAAGGGAAAAGGGAATACGGGATTCAAAGAACAATAAGAAGAGCTTTTAAGGGTGTTGAGACGATTGGTTTCGTCCTAAAGAAGCGTCGACGGATGGTCCGCGAATAACGCTATCGTTTATCGTTGGCAATGTTGGTCACACGAAGCGGTGATTTTCGCAAACGTACACGACAAAACACACACATAGAGGAATAGACAATAACTCTGTTCTTTAGTTAGATAACACGCGTATAGTTACATTGCGTTGTTTCGAGTTGATCGCTAGGTAACGTACGACGAGAGGCAACCAAGAACGATTAATATCGGAGAAAGAGACATGCATTTTTGAATCGAATAAAGGTCGACGTACTTACCTAACTTTGCGATCGTCCTTTTCAGCCGCCTCGCGTACGATCGCAAACATAAGACGTTTTTTAAGGAAACAAAAGGCGGAGCTTGATATTTTATGATTTATAAATCTAGTTTCGATTTGTTCACGTTTTCTTTCGTCGTAGATAAACTTTACGAACGGCTGACATCGGCGTGACGCAAACTTGTGCACAACGCGATACAAAAGCCGTGGGCTGTGCAACTATTAAGATAAAAATGGAATAAAACAAGGATACAGGAGAAACGCGCAAATATACACGCAAACATAAAGCAAGACGCTTCGACAGTAAAACATAAAAAAGAGCTCGATACGTCGACGCAAAATAGTAATGTATAACGTCCCGAAGACAATATCTTTAACGATTTTACTAAAGGAAGATTAATCGAGATTTACCTCGAGAGAAGGCCTATGTTTTGCCACGTGTGTCCGACAAGATAGATCATAGAGAGACTGTCAGAGAGAAAGTGAGCGAGAGAGAGAACGAGAGAAAGTGCGAGAGAAAGAGGAATGCAGAGAGAGAAGAGAAACGAAAAGTTTTATGATGAAGGAAACACGAGTCAAAAAGGTGCTGTTTAGCTTGAGATATCGTCAAATTTCTTTTCTAGTCTTTGTTTTCGCCTCATCTGAATTACTGCACTTTCCGATCTCAATTATTTCGACTCGTAGATTTCTCTCCTTTATTTATTTTATCTCTTTTAAACCTTACTATACTCTTGGAAGATGCGACGAACAGATGGGCCGATTCATTTGGATTCACACGACATGCACGGAAAATTTCACTGCACCCCATGACTTTTTTGTTAGATAGACTTTTCGCCTGACACGGGAACTTTATCTCGGTATAGGAGGTTGAAACAAAGAAAAAAAAAAAACAAAAAAAAACACACAGAAGTACAAGATATCGTCAATACCTGTATATATCTTTCCCAAAAAGAAATCGTGACCTGATCAGAGACCTCGGGATCGTCGCATCGAACAACAGCGAACGTCGATCAGATGCATTTTCAGTTCGCAACGCGACACTCAACGCACATTTGTCACGCGCGCTTGTCATAGGTACCTCTTTTACTAAATATAGATCATCACACGGTTCCGCGAGATCTCCGATCATGTGCACTTTTTATCGAATCAATTATATACCCCTCTATCCCGTCACCGATCTTCCCCCATCCTCGTCCCCCGCAACTCGCTACTTTTCCTTCCCGGAGCGTGCACTCGTTCCGTTCCGTGGATATCCTACGGTGCAACTCCCGTGATTGAATCTCGAAAGCTCAGGGTTGTCTCGAATCAATCTTTCAACGTCGAAGCATCTCGAGAACGAGTTTAATCGCGATAAAAATGTTTGTTCCACGCGGGAAAGAGACAGCCCCTAGCGGACCAGCGTCAATCGATCCTAACCGAAAAGTATTTTTATAGAATACTCTTCGAGCCAGACTCCTACGATGCATCGAGATACATACGACATCGCGTTATATTCTACTCTATATATTATATTATATTTACGTGAATGTATACGCGCATGTACAAATCATATATCGTATCGTAATCTCTGCTGGCAGATTATTCATTCTATATAGTTATTACGCGTCTGAACGACGAGACGATAACGTTTATATTCGTCGGTAGACGGCATTGATACGCGTTAAATTAAATTACGCAAACGTCCTCAAGAGGAATATGCAAGTCTTCCTTTCAATTTGCACCGTTCGACGTTTGAGAATGACCGTACGATTTCGTTTTAACGGCGTACCTGTTGTGATCGCGTTGTATCCTTCGAAAATAGTCTACTTTCGTTTCGTTTCACGCATTATTGTTTCGAAACAGTGTCGTTGCTCAAATCGATATTTGGAGAGATCCTCTTTCAATACCCGAAGCATCGAAACATTAATGCGCTTAATCATCGAGCGAATCTGTGGATCAGAATCGCGGCGTGTCAGGAAAGCAAGCGAAGATTAACTCGGTCGAAAATAATCTGCTCTTCTGTGCGTTGAGTCGGGGGAAACTGGTACGATTATCTTGAAAAATTATCGAATCAATTTGTAGACAATCGTAGAAAGTTAGTCTTCGCTTGTTTCGTTCGTATCGATCCTCTGGTACTAATAGAGCTTCAGAATGACGCGGCAACGCGAGATGTTCGAGATAGATACGCTTGTACATTACGAGCCGTGCCGCGAACTTGTGTCCATGTTTTAGATAAATAGTTTTGCTTACTTGTTGGAAGTAGAGATAAACTACGAGCCTATCGGTAGCCATGACATTTTCATAAATGTTTGATACGTTCGCGACCCATTCGAAGCCGAAACCGGAGATCAAAGAATTCTCGAGGAAAGGAATTATTTTTCGTTTACTCTTCCTAAACTCCTACGTGTTCCTACGTCGAGACTTTCGGCTTTGATTGGCTCGTATCGCTCTACGATTCGACACGATCTCTCGCAAAAATATCACGTGTGTTTTGAATCGAACTCGAGGAACGCGAGCTCGTGGTTTTTTAAGAACGGCGTCGAACCAGAGCTCGCGCGAAGGATGATCAGGGGCCGCGCGAAAGAACAGGGGAAACGAAAACTAGTCGATATCAAAACGAGTTGAATGATGCAAAGGTAATCAAATAATTATACTATATACATTGCTAGATACGCAAGTGAAACCTGATTAACTTAGATGTATCATAATTGTAATCGTTAAATAAGTGTAACTATGTTGTATTGAAAAAATCACGAGGCAGTCTCGTAAAACTGGAGATCCTTCTCGCCGGAAGGATTTCAGTTTTCGTTACAACGGGACGACACCTCGAATCGGTTGTTTGTTAATAATAATCAAATATATCTACGTTTTGTATCCGTTGGTTGACGTTCAAAGTATCTCCGCGCTTCGCAATTGTGATTTAAGAATGGTCAATGGATGCGTCGAAAGTTACAAATGATTTCATGTACACGAGAATCGATCGCGCGAATTGCTTGCAACAATCAGCTAACCCGAAGCGTTCAGATTGGAGAGACTTTTCGATCGAACGGTTTTGAAATAAACGAACGGTACGGTCGCGTTACACTTATCCTAGGTTCGAAGTTCGTCACGTGCCATCAAATCGACTGTGTATCAAAATTGGTCAAGGCGAAAGTGAAAATTAATCAAATTGACGGAGACGGTGTTACAAAGACTTCCGATCATCGCGTCGCGAATTCGATTTGTTCGGATTATTTTACACCGTTCATTTCGTGCGTTTCGATCCATTGCAGTTTCTTCAAATCTTTAGCTCATCTATTACGAGTTTTAGTTGAGAAACTTGACTAAATTCGATTGCACGCGAACAAGAGCAAATACGAAGTTTCGTGAACGAACTCGTTGCTTTCTTCCCTCGTATACCGGCTATATTACTGTCCCAAATTTTCTTCTCGGTTCGCCTAATGTGAAGCGGTCTAATCGTAGTAGCATTTGCAAGTTGGCAATACAACATGTCGTTACGGCATATACGACCCAAACACGATAACGATCACGAATAATTATTGTAATAAGAAAACGTCTTTCATTACTTTATTAAAATGATCGCGAGTACAAGTCGTGTTAGTTAAACGATTATACGTGTGTGTATATCCAATGTATAGAGCAAGCTAAAGGAAGACCCGTTCGATAGGTCTTTGGTTCTTCGTGGGGTGCAAAATAATTTTAAGGGATACGGCATGAAGACGAGGATAATCTCGTTAAGATTTTAAGAAGGATGAATATAATCTTCGAGATGTATTAACAAAATAGAGTAAACACTAAGTCGAGCGAGGTTACACCAGAGATATCGCACTGTGAATGAGAATATTTATATTTTTACTTGAGGAAAAAAGAAGTTATGATAACGTTTGTAATGTCTAATTCCCGCCCGATAAGGAATGTTTATAATGTTATTTTTCTAGAGTATATATCGAAACAATTATTATTGTGTTAAGACGAAACGTGCTCTCGAATAAGAAACAGGCGAGATCTATTGTAGATGCGGCGCAAATATTTGCCCTTACAAGCGTTCTTACGTTTCGCTTCAACTACTCCGACAATTTGTTTACAAGTACCGTATTAGATATGTATGATAATGCTATTATAACGTTCTGAATTTTATCGCGAATGTTCACGAAGAATGTGCGCGTGCGTCACAACCAATGCGTTTCTCGCGGTGTTCATTACCACTTAACTGCTGTAAATATTATTTATGCCTAAGTTTCCAAAACATGTGGTTTCATTGTACGACTAGATAAACGATTGATAGCCATCACTTATCGCTTTCGAGTGATTTTCTACCGACTCGCGTTTCATATCGACAGTTACGAACAAATGAAACTGTAATTTTCGTTCATACCGCTGTAATATTTTACTTAGAAAATGTTTGGTGAAACGATAAAACTGGCTATCAACGAAAGCGAACAAATTTCGTTTTATGCTTTCCTACTTTTGCTCGAAAACGATTGAGACAGGAAAGACGAGAAACGACAATGCTGTTATTTGGCTATTCGTAATTGTTCAAATTGTTTGTTAAACCGTTCCTTTGTAATGTGAAGAGAATATTCTGTTCTCTACCTACGGTACCTGCGATTGAAGGTTGTTACTCGGACTTGCTCCATTCACGTTTCGTCGTAAAAGATGGAAAATAAAACGGAGGTGATGGGAAATTGTGAGAGGCGAGAGTGCAGTATGTATGGTGTTAGCTGTATGAAACCATGTTACGTGTAATGTTATGTACTGTAAGATTAGAATACATCATAAAATGGTGATGGCATGTACTGCTCGAATGTAATACATGTATCAAGTTACCCCTAAATACAGCCATTTTATAATGGATATTCTCCTCTCTATAAGGTTTATCTATTCTCTATATCCGATAACCACACAACGGAATAACAATAAACAAAAATATCGAGTGTACAGTGGTATAACGAAATTCGTAAATATTTGACTTAGAAATTGTTTATTAACAGAGAAAATTAATACCGTCATCCATACAAACTAGCTTCTTAGGAGTATCTTAGTACTATATTGTACAAAGCAGTAATATTGTTGTTTCGTAGTATCGAAATCGGTTGATTTCTCGAGTCTAAAATACTTCACCCAAGAAGCGGTATTCACCAAACAGAACAATCAATTTGAAATTCGCACTCATTCACGCGCTAATCGTATATCGAAAAATCGAACGCGATCGAGTTGGACGCTAGAGATCCCGCGCGTTTATACTCGTCGATGTTCTTCTCTTAACATACTCGCGACCGCGTATCGCGGTGTCACGTTGTGCTAGAAAAAACGTTTCGGACAAGTAAATAAAACGTATCAAAAGGTGACCGCCTTAAGAATTACCTTACGTTACCATTATCTCGTTAACTGAAGATTAACTCGAAGATTAATCTCTCTCAATCATGGAACATGGATCAACGCAAGTTACAGGTCAGTACCGCAGCCAACACTATGTTCGGTATATTAGAACTTAAGTTTTAATTATAAGAAAACGATATATTACAAGTTCCTTTTTTACTTACAACCAAGTAATCACTCAGTTTCTCTGAATAATATCCTATGAATCGTATTAAAAATTGTGACATAACATCTATTACACGAATATTGACACTGGGAGATATTAAGGTCTCTGGCATCTGTTGATAATTTCGTTAAAAATTAGTTACTTCTTTCGTGTATTAGATATGAAAGGAAAGATAATATAAAAAGCACACGTTATGTAAAATTAGAATGAAATCTACTATCCCCTGTCGTGAAATCTCTACAAAGGTTCCAACTATACATGTTGTGAATAATCAATTTTTACAGGTTAGAGTTTAGACGTATGTATACATTTGGTAGAGGCTTGAATGTTTACGTTGGAACCATACTTTTTCCTAAATTATTTACGTGAAATTAACCGTTAAAATTTTTCTCGGTTAAGAATACGCTAAGTAGACATTTTATTTTTACGAGAATACTGTGGAACACAATAAAATAATAGACACGCGAACCGAATTTTATCTAATCATACAACAAATTTAAATTTCGCTGTAAATATCTGTAAATAACTAACAAACTGCATAACCAAAATTATACAGATTTTGACATATCTTAAGTTTATCATTATAGTTCATCCCTGAGTAACGTGTACCTGTTTTTGCTGGGTGCAAGTTTCTTAAATGTAGATTCTGGTGGGGTTGTAGGCACCTTAATTTGTCCGACAATTTGAAGGACTTCGTTAGTACTAGGTTCTGGCCCATAATGAAACTCCCTATGTAGCTTTCCCGAATATAAATCTCTTAGGAAAGCCTTTAGTTTTCCTTCTACGTGAATATCATGGAAGTTTGGAAACAGGTACATGTGCTTAAAACTATCTATCGCGATTAAGGGTAAATCTGCCGGAGTTTTGCCTAAATGATGGAGAGGATGAGCAAATTTCAAACCATCTGCTGTCAAAAAATTTACATTTTCTGAAATGGAAAAATAATTTTATATTATAGTATGCAGCATACATTAAAAGTACATTAAAGACTTTATTCAATAATGTTTACTTACGTTTTTCGTCAATTAATGTTCTTGTAACTACATCTTTGTACATTTTAACGCTCTCGATATCATCAGGAGCATGAAACAATATAAGAAAGGGTAAACCTTCCTCTGTCAATTCCTCTGCATTTTCAAATGTGATTTCCCTGACAAGAGGAACACATTTTTCTTGTGCCCAAACATTTAATTCATCAAAATTATTCAAACTTCCATGGTATGTTTCATCTTCGTCGTTAGAAAGCGCTTTATCAGAGCGGAAGACAATAATAGGTTCTCCAGGAGGATGCATAGCAGTGCTTGCATTCCTATAAAAAATTCATGAGTGTCTTGATTTAAATGTTGCAAAGAAGTAAAGTTTTAACACAAAACAAGACTACTATATATAACACATTTGTAAAGAAAGAAATAAGCAGAGTAAATGCCACCCATATCATGCACAACATCTTACTTACAGCAAGTGAAAATGCTCTCCTATTTCACAGTTTTGAGCTGAGCATGTGCTTGTTAGAGGAAACAATACAATAATTACGCATACTTTACAGATTGGTTAGTTAATTTGTTAAGACATAATACAATGTTAATGCTGCATGCAATCTTCATAAAAAATAATAATAAAACTTACCCAAAGCCAACGTGAAACTGACAATCGTCTTTGAGATTGGTAGCAACTCTTCTAAACATTTCATACTCAGGAACATCTTTTCTATCAAAATATCCAATAATCATTCGCTTCTTATCATCTAAATTATTTAATTCTTTCAAATCATAGAATTCTTTGATCGGATCTTCGAGTTGTTTCCTTATAAATTCTTCAAAAGCTTCTACGGATCTTTGACCTCTGTATTCTCTTTTAGTTGGCTGACCATTTCTTATAACTTTCAGAGTTGGATATTTGGTAATGTGAAACCTTGAAGCAATAGAGGCTAGAAGATAATATCCTATTTAGTATTTTTAACAATGTATCGTAACAATCATATTCCCTCAATAATTTACTCACATTCCCTGTCACAATCCACTTTTGCCATTACCACTTTCCCTGGTTCAGGAAATGCATTCCTTACTTTAGTAGCAGCTTCCTCAAAAATAGGGGCCAATAAATTACTAAAACGACACCATTGTGCATAAAAATTTATAAACACCAATTCATTCGATGCTACAACAAAACGCAAAAAAAAATTAATCAATTATATTTATTTATATCGTGTCTATTTCGTTTCATTTTACCTAATGTCATATCAATATTTTGTTGAGTAAGCGACATCGCACCTTCGTCCGCATCGTTCGCTAAATTATTAGGCAAAAACGCCTAAAAAGATAAAGGACACCCATAAATGCATTATTTACGCGTGCAGTTTTCAAAACATTCAACGCATGACATATGGTTAGGATAGTTTATCAAGAAATGATAAATTAAAACGATGAGACAGAATTTGAAAAGATGCTTTTATTTCTAGGTATGGTGTTTTAATTGTTTCGTTCTCGGCTTATTATGCGCTACTGATTTCTAATCAAGATTAGACACAGAAAACAATCGCTCATTACCGAAATTAGTTTCACATTCGATTTGTTTAATATATCTTTGAGGTTATTTTTCTTGTGTACGTGTACAGGTTATGCCGCTCGTTTATACATTAAAATTAGGTTCGATGACATTGAAAGGGAACACAGGATTAACGAACTATAATAACGGGAAATGGAGTGTCTAGAATTGGCAGGTTCCTAAATACGTGTCACTTTTCGTTCTACTGGCGGTATTCAAAATTTTGTATAGGTTTCTTTGACAAAACAACAAAATATACCGATTTAAATGATACTCACCAAAAAACAGATAAATACAAGTATTTTGAAATCGAAAATATCACAGAAGACCAGCATATTATGATCTTAGAGTACAAATTTGATCAGGCAATAATTTTTTGAATAACCATCAGTAAGCAGCTGCCTCTGCGTCAAGTGCCACGAATTTGCGGTGAATCGAAATCTAGTGAAATATTCTTGAGACATTGACGTGGCAGGGTCGGCACAAGTAATATTGAAATTCTCTATCGGATTCGATTTTCTTTCTTCAACTTGTACACTTTGACATCAATTCTCGATCCAACTCTGACCTGAACATCATCGTTTCTACCTGTTCTCACTAGCGTTTACATTGCTAGGACTTTTCGTTTTCTAATTTTGTATCCGTAGCGGACCAATGACGGGCGCTGATGTATAACCACGCGACGGTCGATACTCCCCAAGTTATTTGAATACAAGGCGGGAATTCTACGTTTCTCTGTGCTCTACTTTACGAACCATACTATTTCACGACATACATAAAATGATAAAATCGATTTCTAGGAAATTAGGGGTTCCCCAACTTTATGACGGTTTACCACCCAAATCTATTGAATACTTCCCTTAGCCGCAAAATGATTTCTCACAAAAAGAATATTGCAGGAATTATCATGAAATAATTATACCTTCTAATCTCCGTGAAAATTCTAACCACTTTTCGTACGAACTATGACCGTCAGGTATATTTGTTAGTGAAAGGGTAAAAGGTATCACGGTACTCTATCGCAAATCACAGAAACTTTCAATAGACTGCAGAAAATCTTGAAGACAATTTCTTCGAAAACCCGCTAGAATGTTTCTGTTAACAACCATCGCTCATTTAACATCCTCTCCTCGTTGACCATCGACAGACTTTTGAAAGATGAACAATCATCCTCTCTGACCGCAACAAACTTACCTGCGAAAGGTCGCGTCGCGGAAAGTGCAATAAAACAATCATGCATCCGTAATCTCCGTGTAAAAGCGAATTATTGGCTGCATAGAAGATAACAATAACGTTCATTCAGCATCACTGCCACAGACACGTTGTACAAGCATGACTTCACGAAACCTCTTCTTGCTCCTCCACGAGATTTCAATGTTCAGGTACACCTGGAGGAGTCCTCGGCCCTCGACGATATAATCCCTATTGAACGAATACGAGGACTCTCTGGGCACGAACTTTAACAATAATTTATGGCCACACGAGGCTGTAACGAAACGCTCGAACGGGGTACGTTGTCGCATAAGCCGTGGATTAACCGTAATTTACAACGAAATCCAATTTTCTCGATTCTATGTTCATCTTCCCGTTCAGTTGACGTTTACTATAACTCTTTTACGAATCAATTTTTTGTTCCATAAAAATATATTAAATTAAATTTTCTATGTAAAAATTGTTTGCTCTTAAGTACTCTCCACAGAGCTTCTATAGATACCAAAGATTTATTTACCAAGGCCAGCGACTTCCATATTGTCAGGTGCATGTTCCCTTACTCCTACATACTATAATCTAATATGACCTCTTTTATTTCATTTATTGTGGGAATCTTGAGTTAAACAAGGTATTACTTTCGAATCGACGTAATTTTAAAGTGACGAACAAATAACTACACCTCATAAGCTGGTTCTTTGACGTGTTAAACCACTTCAGTCGTACTACCTTAAGTGTGTTCTAAAGTTTCCGCCAATAGGTCTGTGAGGGAGGCAGTCGAAATGACTTTGAGTTCATAGGAACCTTTATGCCTTTTCCGTCGCCGACGTTTTTAGACCTCTCTGCAGGGGAGATCTGTTCGAGCGCACCGATGTCAATCTCGCATCCGAAGAGCAGCCGCGCGTCAACGTAAGCGATGGCTGTTCCCGAATTTCGAGATAAAATGATTTTTCGCGACGAATGCTCTGCTTTTCATGTTCGTATGAATCAAAGCGACCCATCCTTGTTCGCGCAAATTGACTCAACAGTCGTGATTAATTTCAATGCATTACGGTGACACTTGTTTGCTCGAGCATCGGCACTCTTTGACATTGGATCGGCTGCACTGCTGGATACTAGTTGAACAAACGAGCCTGTTGAAAGATAAAACCACACAATGCGCCACAGGACTCTGCATCCTACGATATTTCCTTTCCAGGAAAATCTCTGATGCGACTTCCAGGCATTGACTTTTACCACGACAAAACGCGTTGACTTTTACGGAAAAGGGAAATACATTTGTACTTCTTGTAAGCTACTTGTTTATTTAGATTTGCAACGAAAAACACCGGCAGCGATCGCAATCAGTTCTTCTCATATACTTATCTTCCCTTTCAAATTATGAGAGAAAAGAAATGGTAGTAATATCCAGGTAACTTTTTTCCGGTGCGTCATTTATAAAGTTAAAGGAAAAAGTTGTGTAGCGAGTCGGGAGATATCCGCAAAGTCGTTAATTTTATATCAAAACCCTTTTACGACCCTACCTGGAACAACGTGGGTCGTCCCCGGCACGGTTCTGGAAGGAAGCAATTATCCATTTTAATTCCTTGTTGAGTTGACGTGAGGTATACACACAGATATGTTGGACTGTTTGATCAGTCCGGCTATCCATGGTCGTTTCAGTTTCTCGTGATTCGTTCCCGGAGAACGGCACACAAATCATATTCAGGTCGTGGTCTAGAATTTTTGTTCTATCTTTTAACTACGCTCTCGAACGGTGAACACTATTTGGGATAATAGAAAGATATGAACTGTTCCCTCTAATTAAAATATATTGGAGAAAAATGGGTCTATTTAGGATAATCTTTATCATAAAGTTCCATTACTTTTCATTGGGGTAGCTATTCGTTTCAACCAGCGACGTTCTTTTGGGCAATTGTCTTGGAAAGTGCCAATTGCACCCGAGGTTAATATTGCCTATCTCTTTGAGAGAAAATTGCCTTTGGGTTAATAGGCCATATTTAGGCATAATATTTAGAACAGTCCCTTTAAATCGTTCGACAATGCGACGTTCCTGGAGTGCTCGTTAACCGTTGTTGACGGTCTTATTATTCTACCTTACCGAGAAACGGTCTAACGGAAAACGATCGGGCGAAAACTAGCGGCCAGCAAGTTTTGAAAGGTGGCACAATTGTTACCTTTAATTCGGTACGATCACAAACGCCGAATTGCGTAATGAATCCGCGTACAATGTGACGGCTTCCTTTGAACGGTGGATATTCTCACGGATTCCAATGGGTATCCCGAGGATACCCGTCGATTCTGGTTCTTATTCCGGCGTTTCTTTCTTTATCTCCTCTTTCTTCGTCTCGAACGCAACAGGTCGTATTGTGACGAGGGTGTCATTCCCTTCGAATGGGATCGGCGAGAGAAGACCCCTTCGGCTCGATTCTTGCGTCGGTACGACGAAGCACAAATTTATGGACTTGGGACCGACGTTTTACAGCAGGTACATGCTTCTTTTTCCCTTGTTCTCGCACCTTTTGCGGATCGTTAATTCGTTCACCGCGATCGGCTACTTTCGGCACGTTTGATAACTCGGGCACGGCCGATGGAAAAAAAGACGTGACAGCTTCGAGAAGTTTGATCGTCGTAATAAGACTTCCGTGCATGACGTTGGACTAACAGAAGGCTTTCGCAACTCGATCTTATCGATTATCAACCTTAGAGATCTACCGGTCTTTGTCCGTAAACGATGTGTAATAAATGAATATCGTAACGCGAATAGGAGAACCTGCTTATACGCTACCAACAGCCGTTCTCCTTCTCTCTCATCGGCAAGTGATTAATGACGAAGCACTGTTTGCTGTTCATTTGTCTACGGCTGAACAGGTCGAAGCAAAGAACGGGCTCCCTAATCGAATGCTGAAACGTTATTGGAATTGGCTCGATAGCGGTTAGGTTTGATTACATTATTAACCTTCCGAGAATCGGCAGTTTAGTTGGAAAATTTCAACGACACTCAGGTAGAACAATACCTGATTTACTTATTGTTATCCTGTTAACGCTACGGTACTTCTCCAAATATTTGACTGGCCAGGTAAAACTAAGCTGAAAATCTGTTTTGGTGTAATTGGCCTGTTTATGTACAAGGTAACCACCGATCTCCGGCAAACGATGTAATCTCTTGTTTACGCCCTCGTAATCCTAACCCGATTAGCAACTATGTAGCTGTTAGCGGGACAGATCCGACTAATGTCGCCCCATAGGGAGGTACGCGATCCGATCGGCTTCGAATAGGCTTTCTTTCCTTACAGGGGAATCGTGAGCAGCCACGTTACGCCGATCATCGTGTGAAAACTGCAAAGTCTCGCTCCATTAGCTCCGAAGACTAGTCCCATTGTCGGGTCCATTGTCGAAGAACGTGGCCCTTTGCCTCTTTTTCTATCCCGTATCTTCCACACCGTCATCTATCTCGTTTTTTTTCTCCTCCTCTCGCCCCTCCGTCTCCTTCCCTGCCCGTCTTCGCTACGTTTTCTTCCAGATTCGAGCATAAGTTAGAAGAAACCCGTCAAGACTAGTGACCTGCTGATCCCGATGATGCCTCCTTCGACCAGGTAAATCGCGTATAAAATTGACCCGTAGCGAGGATGAAAAGGTTCGACCCTTAATGACGTCTCGACGAATGAACCGTCATCAGGGAAATGCCTTCGAGTCATCCGATGGTGCCATATGAAATTCGATAAAACTGTATGTTTTGGTCCTCCTTTTTTTACCAACGATTATTGAATAAACAGAATATCGAAAATTTATCGATGTTCGGTCTAGAGATTATTGTTCGACGAAATTAGTAAGCGATTTATAATTCGAGATCTGAGACCACACCGACTTCCAGCAAACTATAAAAGTTTCTGAGTTACGATAAATCGTACGCAAGCGTTCATTTTTCGGGAATATTAGTTCCCGTAAGCGATAGCTCATGTTTATGCGTCCAGGAACCGACGGATCCTTTACAAAAGAGTGCCGAAAGACTGTTACTGCCCACAAGAAATATGTTACGAGACTTCCCGCGTCCTTTTTTTGTCAAGTAATGCCGCTAGCTATTCCCTTAATTCGTACGAGCTGTTTTGAATCTCTGTAAAATTTATCGTTCGAGTGCACAGAAAAATGGAAGTTGTTTTTAAAATGTTAACTAAATCGTATGCGCCGCTCAGGATAGTAAGTCCTAGAAATATACGAGAAATCGAAGACCGTCAATTTCTTATTGCGGATGGCCAAGATCTGACCTGCGTCGTCCTTTCGATTTGCATCGGTCCATCGCCTCTGAATGTCTCCCAAAAATGCATGGTTTTCGCAGAAACATCGAACGTCCTGACGAATGCAACAAAGCGTACTTTCCTCCATCGCGGCTCTTTCCGTTTACCGATTGGACACACTCCGTACGAAAATGCAGTTCGGATCATCGTTTTTCTTCATCTCAGTCGATGACCAAGGACTCAACTTTTTTCGAACAAATTCGACGAATGTTCGATCAGTAAAAGGAGGAGAAATACAAATTTTTGGAAAAAGTGTTCACCCTCTCGGGGGAATCGATCGACCGCGTGGGAGTACTGTTTACCAGCGCAGCAATTTACCCCTGGCGGAGACGTTAAGCGGCTTATTAGGGGACAATGGCTAGCTCCGAGCAGAGGAAAGTAAAGGGTTGCTCGGGGCGTGCCCTCAACTTTCGCTCTTCTGCTCCTACGACACTGTCGCAAGATTTACGACTATGCCGCAGTTGCGATGCTACCGGTACTCGCTTGGACATGTGTCATCCAGCACTGTCCAATTTCCATGCTTTTCCCACTTCTGCCAATACTATGCTTTCGATGAATTTGACAAACAACCACGAGTCCCTCGAGAGTTTGCTTGTGGTCGTCCGGGAAATGTTATGGAAGATCGATGGTTCGGCCTGTCTTTTCGTGTACGTACACGTGACGTCAGATGATATTTCCTACACGCCGGAAATTGATAATCTCCTTCCGGTATGCAGCTGACTCGTCGCGTCGGTCAACTAACTACTCCGTATCGCTGAAACTTGTCGGTTTTATTGCGACGTATTCATCGAGATTACATCGATACGTATAAAAAGAATCGCGAGACTATGGACCCGCGACCAACCGCTGAATTCTAACCGAGCGGTTCAAGCTCGGTTTTACCGATAACGACAGCCTTCGTCAACTGCCAAGATGCTATCTGAACAAGTTGTTCACTGGAAGCTGAACAAACAAGATTCGAAGTAGAAAAGACAACGTTCTTCGGAAAAAGTTATCGACTCGTCCTACTTTATTTCCCCACTTCCCAGTACTTTTTCCGAACTACCTGCGTTGGACCACCGTTGGCATTGTCCGTTCGACAGAATCCGGTAATGGTACCTATCTGGCGGTGATCGGTAGCGCGAAAGTGTCGTCACCTCGCCTGCCAATGATCGCTTTACAGCCACCATAAACCGACACTTTGTGCAGCCTGTGCAGTTCAGTTCCAGTTGGTACAAGCCATTGTGAATGCGCTCGTTCAGCACGACCAGCATCTTTCATGAATTTATGGTACGACGCACGCCACAAAGCGCACTTAGAACCTTTGGAAAACTAGCATCCGTTATCACGTGCTTCCGTGCAGCGGACAGGTCGCGGGCCTCTTGCACGCTTTGATACGTCTTTGCAAAATTCCTCCGTCCCCTTTGATGACCACCAAGGAACTTCTAAATACCGTGAAAATTTTTACTTTGACTCTTTTCTGCCACCAGCTAGCGTACTGCGCTGCTACAACTTTCAGAAAGAGCACACTTTTTGCTCTGCTTAAGTCTTTCAACCAAATCGTTTTACGATCTAAACGTTTGTCGATTTTATATCATCGATGATGACATGTCAGTCATTTAATTAAGTGAAAATATTGTATTTGCTAATTAAAGCTGATCAAGTTTTTCATCCGATTACGTTTCCATAAATAACTATTACATAGTCTTGTGTGATTGAATATCGATCACCGTTTAAAAAAGACATAAAGAAAAGAATGTTTACACATTATATAATAAGTTCATGAACAACTTCGAAGAAAATTCTTGACAAAAAAAATTGACCTATCGTGTTAAGTATCGAATGAAACTCTTTTATAAACTCCTCATAAAGCATGTACGTTTTTCTGCAAGTTGTGGCATTAGAAATAAAGCACCGTGCGTGCTCGCTGTAAAAGATGGCGATTTATAAAAACTATAGAGATGCTCTCCGGAGAATAGCGTAGGATTCACGAAGGCTTTCCTCGGTGGCATGAGGCAGCCCCCAGGGACGACCACAAAAGGTGCGTAGCCTCGATCCTCGATCCTCTATCCTCGGAACGCAGGGTTGATTTATGAGCCGATGGTGGGGAGAACGCATGCGCACCAGGCCACAGGATTCACTGGGGTCTATCCCCACCTCCATAGAGGAACCCGGCAGAGCATTCAGCCTCCTCCCTTCTTCGTCGGTTCCTTGTCCACTCGGTTATTAAAACCGAGGCGACACGGTCGGCAACCAGCAATTATCTGGCGAACGCTCGGAGCCGCGCACGCTCCGATCCGAGCGCAGTTCTTTTCGCTTTTCTTTTAGTTTTTCTTTTCGTTTTCGTTTTGCTTACCCACGGTATCAGTGATTAAGATCGCGGGATTACTTTGTCTCTTGTTCCATCGAGGGAACACGTGTCGAAGGATCACGCTCATCGAAGGAGTAATTATATTTGTGAAAGAGAGAAGCACGAGAAGTCGGAAATCGAAGTGATGGCACAAGTGATGCAGTTTCAACAGGTCCGTAACTAAACACGGAGATAGTGTTGTACATTGTTTTAGCGCGATCGGTTGTGATACACGTTGGTTCGAAAGTGATATTTCTCTTTTTCGATATTAATCGTGTTTGAAATTCGAAAACTAAGTGACTACGCGACGACGGATCGTTGAACAGAATTCCTGATCGGCGTTGGAATAACCTCGATTTTATTTGTATTGCAGATGTGCATGCCGACGATGTCTCCGATGCCGGGCATGACGCCGATGTCTGGCCTCTCGATGCCGATGCACCAGGCAACGGCGATGGACTACGGAAGTCCGGGCATCCATTATCAGCCGTACAATCCTGCATTAGGCAGTCATCATCTTCAGACCAGCCAATCCGGCTACTGGTATCCTGGATCCTCGAGTCACGGTCAAATTACGGAGCCGCTGACGCCGCCAGCGTACACGATGCCGAGCGTATCGAGCAGTACCGCATCGTGGACCACTCAAACGCACCTCGGCCAGCCTCAGTTAACGACGATCTCGGCGATTCAGCATTATTCTTTGCCACCGAGTCCTGCCGAACTTCCACCGAGCCCTCAGGATCACGCGTCGCCGTACCAGTGGCCGTTGACGCCGCCAGCGGAACATCATTTGCTCGGAACGGACGAGACCGGTAAAGCCGGCAGAAAGTGTACGAGATGCCGATGTCCAAACTGCCAAACGGATAGTGGAGCTCAGTTGGGAATCGACGGTAAAAGGCAACACGTGTGTCACGTGCCTGGATGCGGTAAAGTGTACGGCAAAACCTCTCATTTGAAGGCGCATCTCAGGTGGCACACCGGCGAACGACCTTTCGTTTGCAATTGGCTGTTCTGCGGCAAACGATTTACCAGGAGTGACGAGCTGCAACGTCACCTACGAACTCACACGGGAGAAAAAAGATTCGCTTGTCCTACGTGCGGAAAAAGATTCATGCGGAGCGATCATTTGACCAAACACGTGAAAACGCACGAGAATCAGAAGAGGAAAAGTTCCGCGGCCAAGAAGGAATCGAACAAGGAGAATTCGTTGCACGCTGCGCCCACGCAGAGTTCGTATCCATCGATTGGCGCACAGTATACCATGATTTAGAATTGACAATTTTAGACAATTCGAGTCGAGAAAGGAGTTGACGTTCACGGTGCTAACCGATACGACCGCGGAATCATTGCGTGCCCGTCCTTGTAAATACTTTTACGAATGTTCCTTGTTTTGTTGTAATTATTGTACATAGAGAGAAAATGATATATTTTTGTAAATTATACCTAGGATTAAGTGGTTGTACTTAAATTACGATACGAATTAAAATGATTAACGATAATACGTGTAGGTTATTGAACGATCCAAACTCGACAAATCAAATGCTCCTTTAACCTGTTCGTGTAGCGTTGCAGCGTGGACTAGGCGTGATCAGAACGAACGTAAATTTTATGCGGACCAAAGCCTCGATTTACCGTGAAAATTCACATAATAACGAATCATTCCCTTGCCGTATATCAGGTTCCTCCTCGACATCTTCCTGTCATACGATACATCACGAGACCCGCCCAAGGAGCACAATGCGGCGTGGATACTTTAGAATCGAGCCCTTCTTCGTCGTTTTCGATGATTTTCTACCTGGCAGGTGTTTCGATAAATGGAAAATGTCATTTCGTATAAACTCTATAACTCCACATAGTCCTTTCGTTTTTTTTTTTTTGGATAAATTAGTAGAAAAGATCGTTTCTATTTACGGCTGCGAGATACGCGAAGGAGATTTTCTCGGTCCAACTGGGGCAAAGTTTTTAAAGGTACTTCGAAGCGGTTCGAAAACGAGTTTCTCGAGGGGGGAAATTGATGAAACGCGTACGGCACTGTAACGGGTCGTTTCATTCGTATTCCAGCCAAGAGATGGCTGCACGGTGAATGGAAAAAGCCCGCGTAGCCCTATTAAGGGGGCGGCGCGCCGTAGCCCCATAGCCCCGTTGCCCCAGCAAGGATTCATGGCTGGCACGTAGAGGCAGAGGTAAAGAGGCAGACGCAGAGATAGAGGTAGAAGAAGCGCGAGAGAGGGAAAGCTAGATGGCAAGGGAGAGAGGGAGATCGAGGAAGAAACGAGAAGAAGGTGCGAAAGCGAGACGGAGGTGGAAGGTGACGGGTCGAGGGGAGGAGAAGGGTGGAAAAGGGGGTACGAAAATGGAATAAAACAAAAAGGAGGCAGCCGCGGAGCAAATTATAGGGAAAAATAGGGAGGGACGAGGCGGAGGAGGCAACGCAGGCCCCGGTGGTGTGGCGTTTATGGAGGAAGAGGATCAGGTGGATGGGTGGAAAGGTAGGAGGAGAGGAGGGGTGGCGCCACGGCAATTCCAGGCTCGCGTTCAACGTTCCCCGTGGAGTACCGCGGATAGCCGCGAAGTTAGTGCGCAAGAGATTCAAAGAGAGTCCAGAGTGACGAGAGAGCCGTGTCTCTCGTTTGCCGGCTCTCGAACGGCGGACCACCGCGAGGCGAGAATACCGAGTGCCGGTTGCCGGTCACCGGTCGCCGTTCTTCGAACAAAAACGCGCGCGAGTCCAACGAGTCGT